GTGTGTGTGTGTGTGTCAGTTATCAAACATCTGCTGCAGTCGACAAGAAAAGACACAGGCCTCCTCTAGTTAACTCCCCCCGTGCCACAGTGTCTCCAGCCTTTATAGTTAACTTCTCACTGCTTTTGTCATTTAGGCCTTTTGTTGCCTGGTTTGACAGGAGTGTATTCAGAGGTCGGTGTAGAGGTGTGGGGTCATAAAGCCACCTGTCTTTCACATTTTTGCAAGGACAACTAAGTAAGGCTGAACTATTAAAACACATAAAACAAGTAATTAAACTTCCACTTCTGTGTCGTTTGTTCAGTCTCACTCTCACCAGTGTCATTTCTTTTATCCTGACCTTAAATCATGTCAAGCCCCCGATATTCTAAAGCTCAGATCCTCCTCATTTTTCGTCTTAATTCTGTATCCTCGTCATGTTACAAAAACCCACCCCTCTCTCTTTTTGTGTTCTTTCTGTTTTGTTGTCTCATAGGATATGATGTACCAGCTGCTCCAGGGGCTTGACTTCCTGCACTCCCACCGCGTGGTTCACCGTGACCTGAAGCCCCAGAATATCCTGGTCACCAGCGGAGGGCAGATAAAACTGGCAGACTTCGGTCTAGCCCGCATCTACAGCTTCCAGATGGCGCTCACCTCTGTGGTGAGTTATGTTTGTTCATATTTCTGTACTCGGTAGGATTCCTCCAATAGTTTCTTACAACAGAGGGACTCAAAACAAACACTCCCAAACACTGTGAGACCAACTGATGGATAGACCCAGAAGTGGGTCGCAGGATGTTTTAACTGGGTCATGGACACAAATAGACTTGGAAGGGGGAATATTACATGATCCAATATATTGGTGATGTCATATGGACTACTGGCCCTGATACAGAGTTGGGCTTTATTGCACCGGATTTACGTTGGAAAGCATTAATTATCCTCCTTAATCTTATGTTCGAAATCTCAATGCCATGCCCACAATAAGTGTGAATGCTTTTTCTTGTACAAACAGTATAGCACATTGTTTTTGGGCAATATTTGTATTGAGAGAATGGAGCAAATTTACTTTATGTTTCAGTGAATATACACAAAAAATAAACACACACACACACAAACAGAATATAAGCAAAAACAAGTGAGAGAATAACAACAAGAATGTAGAATGCAGAAAGGACCCAGACTTAGTACATGGTGGACCAGCTATACCAGCTGAGTACTAGGGCGCCCCCACACTTCAGTCTTTGACTAATTTATCAATTAAGTGCTTCTTATAACTGTAACCGAGCAGGAAAACTTTAGTTGTAGGATCTTTGTAAAAGGTCAGCAAAGCTTGTTGATAGAGAGAGACACACACACACACACAGTGCCTTGAACTACCGTCCCATCTCCAGAGAATTAGATGAAAAGCGTCTAATGTGATGTAGCGGGCACTTACAGGGCATCAGCGGGTAGCTCTGCAGCGCTGAGCCAAATGATAGGGTTTCTCTGTGTAAAGTGAGAGCCAAGGGCCCCCATGGTCTGTCTCAGGAATCCCTCAGTGGCTGTTGCAGACAGGGATGGGACAGACAAGGAGAGACAGACACCCCTCCCTTCCCACTGTCGGTACTTTGATGTCCAACTGTTGAGCTCTGGGCTCTGATGACCAGATAAAATAGAGAGAGAGACTGAAAGGAGTCTTTGGAAGTGCTTGAAATGAGGAGAGATGAGACTTTTAAGATTAAGGTAGCCAGCAACAGTAGCTCAGCACCTTGTTATGAGCCTTTATTTACTGAGAGAAGGTTTTCTGATCTGCTTCACATTCACACGGATATACACACTACCGCCTTTAGCTCCTTTGCTAATCAGCCTGATCAGTCCGGACCCCTTAGGTTCATTTGGGTTTGGATATTTTCAGTATATATTGCGTTTCAGTCTTGCCAAAGATGGATTTGAGGTTCATGGAAGACTGGATTTTAGTAAACGTCAGTTTTTCTTCTTCAGTTTTTCACTTTGGAGGTGTCAGAGTGTGGCACTAGTAGAGAAGGGGATGTAATCCGACTGCTTATAGTGTAAATAGTGACATACACTCAGAGACACAAATGACTTGCCGTTACAATGAACAAACGTCAAAGCGTAAGTGTTACTCACCTTATCTGCTGAGGGTTGTAGGTGAAGTTGCACTGCAACTTGTGTTATACCAAGTTAAAAAAGCTCATGGGAACTTTAAGGCTGCCTTATCCAGCACATCCCGTAGTGCAGCATCTGCCCATCTAAAGTAAATATAAACATCCTTTGGGAAAGAATGCAAACTTTTATTCTTCTCTCAGAATCAGAATAGACTGACAAGCGTCTGTGCCATTGTCACTGCGCAGTACGAGTCGAGCCTAATGAACACAAGCAGGTGCTCCTCCTTTCATGTCAGTGAAAGGTGACGTGTATGTATATAAACTGTATGTCTCATGTAAGGACCTGTGCTCTGTGACCACAGTTTAAAGGACAGTAGATGCAGTGGGTTTGCTAAGAACATACATAAAGCAATTAAAGACATGACAAATCTACTTTATTATCAGTCGACTGTGCACACTAACACTAAGGTGCTGGCGACAGTATGAAATCTTGTAGTAAGTAAAATTCTTGACAGCCCACCGCACGCAAGGAGATAGAAGGGGATTTCTTTATTGAACGACTTTATTGAACAAATGATCTACACATTTTGCTGTATAGCTTTAGCATAGCTTTTTTTTTAGGTCATTTGAGTTTTAAACCTTTATTGTTATAGATTGGTAGTTTACTAAGTTAGCTTCCTCCAAAAAAAAATCATTGTCATTGTGGCTATTTAAAAACATTTTTTTTTAATATTTACTGTACCTGTATTATGCTTATTATTGTATAGTCTTTATATGAAGGGTGAATTGCTCTTGTAGATCTCAGAAAGCCAAGACAAGCAACTAATAAAGGGAAAGTTTATTTAGACTCTTAAGTGAAATATTGTTGAAAGAGTGCAAGTGATGAAATTGATTTTTTTATCACTGGTAAATCAAAAGGGTTAATGGTGGGGTTACTGATAAAGTGATTATCAAAATGAAGTTAACAGCCACTTCTATATTTAAGACAGCAGTTATAGAGAAGTACTGATAAATGTCTGTAAGAAATGTCAGAACTGATTGTTGTCGGTTGTGGCTGACTTGAGTCTTTAAATGTTCCCAAGCTATTTCTCTGTTTGAGTAACATGTGATTGTAGTCCAGGCCCTGAACCATAATTTCTCAGTATTATTATCAAGGGTAATTTTTATGATTCAGAAAAAAACAGACCGTGTTTTCTCGGTTAATTTCTGTAATTTATCATTCTGATTGATGATAATACACAGCTAACTCTCAGAGGAAGACGTACCTAATCAGAGAATTTACATAGTGTTACATAATACTTAGTGTGTGGTTTCACTGGAGGTTTTGTCTTTGACTAGATGTTGTACTGCATTTATGACTACACAAGGGCACTTTTTTTTATTTGGCGAGGGTAGAATATTTACCCGGGAATTCACCTTTAGATATAAGTGGCAAGTGACAAACCCCTGAAACTACTCATGCACACACAGAGGCACATAACATGACTGAATGTGAATCTGTTTGCACACACACTCACACACTCATTTCCTTTCTTGGTTATACACATTGGGCCAGAAAAAATTAGATGGTGCGTGTGTCTGTGTCTGTGTGTGTGTGTGTGTGTGTCTGTCTGTCTGTCTGTCGATCTATGAGTGTGTTAGTGCATGCATGCGCCGGAGCAGAGCGCTACAACGTGAGCATGGGATCTTCAGTGCTAGATTAATGCGCCTGTGTCTGGAATCCCCCTATCAGTCCAACATACACACACATAAACACGCACACACACAATCTCCATTCATCCATTCAGTGTTTCCTCTTGCTAATAAAAGCTGATAATCTACGCTGTATGCAGTGCACATGTACACAAATACACACAGCATTTAAGAGGATCTTCCCCTTTGCCCAACAGACCAGCAGTTGCTTATTTAGTCACCTAATGCCACCGTTACTGGCAGACAGATGGGCTTTGGAGAACTGCTGTTGCTTAAGCGAACAAGACACTTCTCTCTCACTTTCAAAGTGATTCATTTAGCACTTCTAGAATGACAAGATGGCTGAAGTGAGCATTTGCATAAAGTCGTCAAAAAGAGTCCCTCGCTCCACTTTTTTCCTAGTGTAACTAACTGAAAGTAGCACTGTTGTACTTTTTGCTGATGATTTACCAGCATTGCTTGAACTTCTCTTTTTGCAGTGAATTTGCTTTCTCACCTAGCAACACGCTTGGTTGTTAATATGTCAATGACAAAGTGTGGTCTTTGTGCGTGTGTGTGTGTGTGTGTGTTTGTATATTAAAAGTGTGTGTGATGGAGTCTGGGTGCATTTGCACATGCATGGTTACGTGTGACTGATGGCCCCATCGGCCCCATCGGCATCACCCACCTACCATGTTGCACGTATTTCACCCTCCCAGAGAGAGGGAGGGAGGGAGGGAGGGAGACCACCCATTGGGTTGGTACTGGGGTCCAGATTAGGCTGCCCCTGGCAGTCCCTGGAGGTCCGTTGCTTTGTTGATGGTTTTTTAATGACCCCAGTCTGGCTACAGGCTTATTGTACTGCCTTGAGTGACAGGCAGATGGGAAAAGCTGATGGGTTAATCTGACATACCAGAAAAGAGTAGAGAGGGCTCTTTTTTTTTCTGTCCATCTCATTGAGATACAATTTCTGCCAAAGCGCTTTAGGGAAAACATTTCTTTTGTTGAATTTGGAATAAATGCTACTACAAAATACAAGAGTCTGCAGTGATGCTGCAAATCCTCTGTGTAATGCAGTGTGACACATTTAATTATCAGTATCTAAATACTGGTACAAATGTGTGTTTCTAACAAGTTAGAAGGAAACCTTTAATCATCTTACTCAACCCAGCCAATCAAAGCCATTGCTAAAACATGTGAAGGCTAAAAGTAGGTCCTAACCTGCCGAGGGTGGGAGTCCTAACTTTAGAACTCTCAGGTTTTTGGTATAAGAGTAATTACCAAGTCCGAGAGAGGTTAGAGGGTACCCCAGAGAGACCTGCTCACAGTCAGCTACTTCAGGCATTGTACCTCATTGCATCAGAGTTTGATAATGAACTTTTAAAAGCACATTTTGATGGCAGGTGAATTAATAAGGATCCAAACAGATCAAAACCACCCAATCATACTGCAGACTAACACAACTCTTGCACTACTTCTTGAATACTGGAAAACGCAGCTTGCATTCGTATCTCATATCGAAATCTAATTTAATCCTTCTCTCTGAAGCAGATTGATCACCTGTCATTCAATCACTGTAGACGGTGTAAGTAATTCCTGAAACATGTCACCCATAGCAACAGGGGTTAACCCAAGATTTCTCTGTTCCTTAGTAAAGGTCACTCTCAGCTGCCTGGTAAATATTAAGAAGGAACTCTTAGCTAAGAACTAACATAGACAGAAACTTTTAGTTCCATCTACAAGTCCTAGTGGTAAGGTAAGATCCTTTTGATTATGGCCCCTTATCTGGAAGTGACAGATGTCAGGTATTGTTTTCAGAAGATAACCTTCAATGACCCTGACTGTAGTGGTCTTTCCATCTACACTAGCCCACACATTGGCAACCATTGTAGTACAAGGCTGACAGGATGGTCCCATGAAACCCATTAGCTTCCACTCTTGTGCATATCATGCGCATGTCGTTGCCTGTCAAATTGGATTTGGAAAACTCAAGGGAAATGTCACCAGACTTTTTATGTTAGCACTTGTTGTCAAAGCTCTAGTGTTTTTCTTGCTCGAAACCAAAATAAACTGAGGGAGTGGCCATAATTTACAGAGATGACAAGATAAGGATATTACTGGTGATTATTGGTTTTTTTGTCTTGCCTCTGAGCTTTTCTTAAGTAAGTCTGTTATTGAGTTACACAACAGCAAAATGGGATTTTATGACTCTTCAAGCCTGGTCCTTTCAATGCTTTTTCAGTGAATAAATGGCTTCTATATTATATATAATCTAGAAGTAATTATTACTAATATTGTTGGCTTTTTAAAAACAGTATTTTCCAACACAGTCTGTACAGTCACTGTTATAATTTCCTGTAAACTCTGTTGTTGGTGATATGCAAAGGAGTGAAACTGATACCTGATCAAAGGTATTTTCCCAATTCTCCCCCCTAGTTCTCTCTGCTTATAGCCCTCCCACTACGATTACCAGAATAAGACACCCATATCTCACATGACATTAAACAAATTGAAACCAGATTTCCTGCCTGCGCTCAAACAGCAGACAGTGCTTTCAAGAGCAGTCAGACTCTCTTCAGTCTGGATTTGTATTTTCGGTATGAAATATACCACCCATTTTTGGGCCCTTGTTTCACTGTATGAATGTCAGTTAAAATCTGTGGGTGTGGATCAGGGGATAGTGTAGATTGGTGTGTTTTCACTTGTGACATGCTATGGCAATATTACAAGTGGTGATAATGCAGATAAGATATCTTTAAATTGCCAAATCACATGTTTGTTTTTTTATATAATTATTTGGTCTTTTTTATTTAAAATGAAGCTTGAAATGAAGGAAGATTTTAAACAGTTTTATGGCAATTCTTTTAAAAAAAAAACTCAGGACTCCCATAATCCTTCAACTATACCATACATGCAAGCAATCAGCGCACTAGTTCAGGAACAGAGATAGTTGAAACTGAAATTTTTCAGTGATGACCAAGGATGAACTGGGCAGTCGTGTCTTTGAATCTCTACTTTTGCCAGACAATGTGTTTCTGCTCTGGACCGACAGAAAGAAAGGCAGGCAGCAGCAGCAGCAGCAGCAGGGAGAGGGAGGGGGGAAAAACCCTTTGCACTGCACGCAGGAGAGCACGTGCAGCGCACTCTGGGAATGTTTAGATATCTCCTCAAACGGCTCCGCATGGGAAAAAAAAGGAAAAGTCATCCTCTATGCTTTGACTGCAGCCGGCTGGAGCAAAAGTGGCTGGCCCCAATTTGACATAAGCAAACACAGTTCACACACACACATATGAAGAGGGATATACTGTACATACACACATTCAGAATCAATCACATAGTTATTAATGTTTGCACACACATAGATACACACCCTCACATGTACAGTGCACAGTGGAGATCTTATTGGATTTTTCATGTGTGTACCCCCCTATTAAGGGGGTCCAAAAGAGCAACACTAGCATCCCCCTACACACACACTCCTCTGCTCTTCACTGTATTAATTGTTGATGGTCTTTTGGCAACGCTCCAGGTAGGGAAAAGGGGGCACTGATCTCTCTGTGTGTGTGTGTGTGCGCGTGTGTGTGTGCGCGTGTGTGTTGTAGGAGGTGATTACAGCCACTCTTGACCTTG